AAGGGCGAAACCAGTGGTGGGCTGTCGAAGAGTTTCTAGCAATTTTGTGAGTAGTTTCCTTTATGAAAATTTACTGCGATATCTCGAATATCGTGCCAACCCAGGCGGCCTGTGTGCAGCACTTTCAGTTGTAGATTATCATAAACGAGAGATTCAATTGAGTCTCTCGTGAAAACCGAATTGATTTGCAAATGAGTGTATTTCTCGACAACTAATGCGTTTCTAGTGGAATCATTTGCTGTGCACTTGCTGACTCCGAAGTAGTTTCCCAAATCGAATGGTATGACTGTGGCGAAAACGCGTGTGATCAGTCATTGCGTTGATATTGTTGGCAGAGAATGAATGGTATATCAACCGCGATCATAGCCGAAAGACTCATTTGGGTTTCGGTTTAATCCCCCGTGAACACCAGCTAACGACTTATCTAGACAACCGCTCGACTATTGGTAAGAAACAGACTAAAATAACTGAAGTCAGGACCCTCACCATTGTCTGCTATCCGAAACGTCTCCGAACACTCCCGATGAGAAAGACGCTTTTGTATGATTTAAGGTTCCGGTAACTGACTCCATTCTTACTGTAAAGTATCGCTACATTGTAATAACTTTGGGCAGAATGTCCAGACGAGTGTAAACTGGAAATCCAGGGACTTGATACCAAAACCTTTTGAACTCATTTACTCCGTAGACAAGTTCAAGGAGAAATGGGTAGATGAACCAACAGCTTAAGACATTGTTTCTCTTCGATATACATATGGCGCGTCGAACGCATCTCACACAAAAAGCAGTTGCTTACGATGGTGGGCAACCTACCATTCAGCACTCTTCACATGTCATATAATTTTGCGCAAAATTGGAGTTGTCCATGAGACAAAGGACAAGAGGACTTCAAAAACACGGTGATTTCTCAACAAGAACAGCCTCTTAACTTATTTTCTGATTTTATGGCTTTTGAATAAATAATCCTCAGTTGAAAAACCTTTTTCAAAAAATGAACCCATAGGAAATCGATATAACTAACTTCATAATCCACTGACATCGCAATTTGGCATTTCAATAATAGCACTAATAAAATGCAAGTTAACGCTTGCGAAGTTGCTTCTCTTGGTGACAGATTAATGATAAATCATTGAATGGAACAATTAAAAATCTCATCTGCCTAGTAAAAAAACTATCGGATATTTGTGATTCATTTTCATGGTTGGTGTCTGTCTGAGTTGATTGGATCCCAAATTTGTTCGAAAGGAGCAACATAGACGTTGCGATAGCCTCATTACTGTGGCAGCTAACAGCATCAGTCTAACATAAAGCCATTTCAAACAACTTCTTTTCTCATGTGCTGCCCGTTCCGATAGGACGTTTTGCTCCAGTCATCACGAATCATCTCCATGTTCACAATAGATAGTGTATAAGGTGTCCAAGAAATTCAATTCAGGCACCCCTTCTCTCCGATAACTCACTTATTTGCGGGTTATCAGTTACGGTTTCGTCAGCACACCTGAGAACATTTTCTAGACTTTTAATTCCTCTGTACCATGGTCCTGAGCGTGTGCATCATTTCTCTAATTCGAGACCTAAAGTCCCAACTAACACAACTGTCAAACCAAGTTTCCCTTTATAGTAGATATCGTCCGGGATCATTTTCACACTATCGGGGAACAAATCTGAATGGGACCAGAACATTGGTTGTTGATCACATGGCTGTTGATCTGATCACCAAGCTTGACAATTTACTTTCAAACAAGCAGATAGCATCAGTGCATAGTTGGGACCAGAATAGAAAAAGGCTCTGAAAATTGACTTTTAGCTAAGATGGGGTCCAACCGGCTGATTGTTAAATGAGTTTCCAGAAGGAATGGGATTGCACAAGTGATGTTAACGTTCAGCTCGTACTTTCGAGCAGTCCGCTGTATGTTGGCATGT